CCACTATTGAAGGACCTCTCTTGCCTATCCTGGTGGATGTCTTCTTTTCTTGCGCAACATCTGGCAAAGCAGCTAGCTTTTGGCACAGCACCCGCTGCAGCTCTGCCTCCGCTCCTACCCCTGACAGCTCCTTTTCCAGGAGACCCCCACCACAGTCCGATCTGCTGCCTGCCACTTCTCTCCCCTGCAACCTGTCAGCACCAAGCAGTCTCAAATACAGGCCAGCAATCATCAGTCCTGCCTTTTCCATAGCCCTCAGCCTGCTGAGTGAGAAATTGTTTTACTAAACAGTCGAGGGGCAACCACTGAAGGGAAAGACTTTGTCATTCCAGAGTTTCATAATAGGGGAAAGTCTCCCAAATCATATTTTCAAATTACGTTAATGCAATCATCATGTCATATCTAAATAGGGGTTTAGCTGCATTTTGCTCAGTGGAGTCAGCTGCTGGTCTTCTGTGAGAAATACGATATTCTGCCCAGCGTGGTGCCGAGCACAGTGCCTGTTGGCCTAAAATAAACACGGTGCTCAGCCCACAACCAATCTGGAGGGAATAGGAGGAAACCTGTGTCAGAAATAGCGTGGCCAGCAGGACTAGAGAAGTGGTCATCCCTTTGTACTCTGCGCTGGTGAGGCCGCACCTCAAATACTGTGTTCAGTTTTGGGCCCCTCACTACAAGAAGGACATTGAGCTGCTGGAGTGTGTCCAGAGAAGGGCAACAAAGCTGGTGAAGGGTCTGGAGCACAAGTCTTATGAGGAGCGGCTGAGGAAGCTGGGGGTGTTTAGCCCTTACCGCTCTCTACAACTACCTGAAAGGAGGTTGTAGTGAGGCAGGGGTCGGTCTCTTCTCCCTGGTAACTAGCAATAGGACAAGAGGAAACGGTCTCAAGTTGCACCAGGGGAAGTTCAGGTTGGACATTAGAAAGAACTTCTTCACTGTAAGAGTCGTTAGGCATTGGAACGGGCTCCCCAGGGAGGTGGTGGAGTCACCATCCCTGGAGATGTTAAAAAACGTTTAGATGTGGCGCTTCAAGACATGGTTTAGTGGGTTTAGCGGGCATGGTGGCGTTGGGTATATGGTTGGACTTAATGATCTTTGAGGTCTTTTCCAAGCATAATGATTCTATGATTCTATGATTGTGAAAAAGCTGACTGCTGCTTGTGAAGCAGAACAGCCTCCAGGGTCAAAGGATGAGTAAGTGCTTTGGCAGCATGGTGCCCATTTCCTTGCTCATGAATGATCATGAATATGAAGGATCCTGGAAGACATACCCAGGGGCCTTTAATGTATCTCCTGTGCCCCCAGATAGGAGCAACTCCACCTCACTGCCTTTTCTGCTTGTTTTTTCGTGCAAGCCATCCAGAGGTACAGACTGACAATGACCATCGAGCTCAACAGAAGCCTCATGAACCACATGTGCATTCAAGCCAAACCCGTTGATGCCTCAAGCTCCCCACACAGTTCTGCTGAAACATGTGGGCTAGACCTAGGGGTTAGGAAACCAGATCCATAGCTGGAGTACAACAGCAAATATTCAAAGCTGAGCACCTCAGATGAAAGTAATCCCATTGCAGTGTCTAACTCTCTGTGGTGTCATGGGGAAAATCCGCATCCAGCCTTGGAGGGGCAAGGAGCACCAGTCTAAACAAAGGAGCTGCTCCAGCTCAGTGCTTTTCCTCGCACATGACCAGCAGTGCCGGCCAGATTAAGTTCTCCTAAGCAGGGCTGGTGGTGCCTTCACTTCTCCTCCTCTTGCTCTTTTCCTGCATGAGGGCAATGGAGAAAGCCTGTTCCCTAAAATTCTTGCCATATGGGAGCATCCTTGTGCCAGGATCTGTTCCCAAGGCTGTGTAACTGGGACTTCTTCTGCCCTCTGGACCAGGTTCTGTAGCACCTGGTTTGCCTGCCACCTCCTGACCCACAGTCTGGGAGATGCTGAAAACTCAGTTTGGGATGTGCTGCTGAAGGCCACCGTGTGCTCCCTCTGCTCTCTGGCTCTTGCTGACACAGGAAGAAAAACATGCTGAGATCCTCAAGACAGACAAAGTGCCCATGATAAGGTAGCCTGTCGTGGTGTCACCACAGCCCTCAGCTAAGCACCATAAAGCCGCTCGCTCGCTTCCCCCACAATGGGATGGGGGAGAGAATTGGAAGAGTACTAGTGAGAAAACTCATGGTTTGAGATAAAGACAATTTAACAAGTAAAGCAAAAGCTGTGCAAGCAAGGAAAGCAAAACAAGGAATTCATTCACCACTTCCCATTGGCAGGCAGGTGTTCAGCAATCTCCAGGAAAGCAGGGCTCCATCACACATAGCAGTTACTTGGGAAGACAAATGCCATCACTCTGAACGTCCCCCCCTTCCTTCTTCTTCCCTCAGCTTTATATGCTGAGCATGACAGCATATGGTATGGGATATCCCTTGGGTCAGTTGGGGTCAGCTGTCCCAGCTGTGTCCCCTCCCAACTTCTTGTGCACCCCCAGCCTACTCCCTGGTGGGGTGGGGTGAGGAGCAGAAAAGGCCTTGACTCTGGGTAAGCACTGCTTATCAGTAACTAAAACATCTCTGCCTTATCAACACCGTTTTCAGCACAAAACAAAAACATAGGCCCATACTAGCTACTGTGAAGAAAATTAACTCTATCCCAGCCAAAACCAGCACACAGCCCCAGCTAAGTGTAGCCCTTGGGCAGAGAAGCTGCAGGGGCACAGCGAGGATCATTGCACCTCTCCGGGAAGGCCTGGGATAAAGAAGAAATAAGGTTGTGATTATTGGCCCAGCTCTATCATCTGCTACAGGACTGTCAGGGCTCCTCACGAGACAGAGGTTATCAGAGGCACATAAGTACTTCAGGCAGAGGTGCCTCTCTGAACGCTGCGTGTCAGACTCTTATTTTCTGATTTGTTTCTGTTTCCCTCTTGCTGTTACTGTATGCTTTCTGCAGATCCTTGCTATGTCTTTGAGATGATTCAGCAGAGCAAGCTAATAAGATGCAGCAGCATCAACAGGGTGCCTCCTCTCTGGGAGGGGAAAAAGATGTATTTCCTTCTTTCACTACTTATTTTGGAAAGTGAAACCAGAAGAGACTGGATCGTGTCTCCCTCTTTGCTGTGGGACGTGAAAAGCCATTCTTCTGCTACTCTGTCTGTCGGCCCCTGGTTTTCTTGGGTACGCTCCTTCTTTAGCAACAAACTGGGCAGGGAGCCGGACTACACAGTGGTTGGTTTTGATTTAAGATGGGGCAGGACACAGCCCTTCAGCAGCGAAGAAGCTGTCAGAGTCAGCTCCTCCCAGGAGAAGGTAACTTCATCAGCTTTAGCTTTCCTCAGGGTAGTGGTAGTACTGGAAAGAGAAGCTGGAGGGGAGCAGAGCGTGTTGCAGCCCTGCACAAAGGCAGGCTGTGGTGTTTCTGCCTACAGGGCTGACCTCCACGTTTCATGGATGTGACAGTCCCAGGATGTAGGACATGATGTAGCCAAGTTCTTGGCTCAAGTGAACAAGCTCACTCAAGAGCAGGAGGAAATTTGGTAATTCCCTTAAAAGGCAAAAGGAAATAAATGGCATGGCAGTTATCTTAGAAGTGCTGGGACATTTATGAACTTGCTACCTCAAATTCAGGAGGTAGAGGAAGGCCTTTCCACATTGTTGTTTGGCTACGTCTTGGCAATCCAATTTGCTGGTCTCTCTGTTGGTTGTTTTCATACCATATGCTTCATGTTTTACACAATATACACACAAAAGAAGTTTTTATACAATGTACTTCAGCAAAGGAAAGTGTCCGAAGGTTGACCAATGCTTCTAAACCACATAGCAGTTCTTGCAAGAAAAACAGGGTGTTGACTTCGTGACCGTATTCACACAGTGTACAGCCTTTAAAAAAAGGGCATGAAAGTGAGTGTGGAGCTACCTGGAGCAGGCACGAGAAGAGCAAAAGTACAACTAAAGGGGTGATTTACCCAGAGGTGGTTGTTTGGGTCAGGGTGTAGGGTGCACTTTGCTATGAAATGCTGAGCTTCGTCTGAAACCTACTCCCCGGAGTGAGTCGGCGCTTGGGGTGCTGAGTTTCCTGAGAAGGCTCTGCATTTCCAGCTGTCTCCATACTATGTACTCTGACCATGACAATGTTTGTGAGATGGTCTACATAGTTGTCCTGTTGTAGGCCTTGGCCACACCATGATGGGCTCCCTCAGTGCAGCAAATGCCAAGTTCTGCCTGGACTTCTTCAAAGAGCTGAGCAAAGTAAAAAGAAATGAAAAATTTCTTCTTCTCCCCACTGAGCATCTCAGCTGCCCTGAGCATGGTCCAGCTGGGTGCAGGGGGCAACACAGCCGAAGAGATGGAAAAGGTGAGTTTCTTTCCTTTTCCTGGGAACTGCTATTAGAGGCTTACATTTGGAAACAGAAAAGAGGCAGGAGCCTCTGGCAGTCTGGGCCATGTTCTTCACAAGCAGGGAACTGAAAGAGGGTCTCAAAGCTCTCCTTTCCAAACACGCTCATTGCACTTGTGGTGCCTGTGAGGCTCCAGTGCAGCCTCAATGCATTCTTTCTGTCGTTGTTAATCTATTTACATAGATTTATATTGCATTTATATCGCAGGTGCTTCATATTCATGAGGTGCTGAGTATGTCAAGTCCAGGAATGAAAAGCACTGCTGGAAAGGTGAGATAGTATTTGAACTGTGTGATAACATTGAACTGTAGCATGAAGCAAAGCAGGGCAAGGCAGACTGACCTGCTAAATGACAGCACTTCATCCAAAAGCACGGTAAGATCAGAGTTCATCCCTGTTCTCATCAAACCTGTGTGCACGTGCAGAAGAGACCCCGTTGCTTTGCTGCGTAAAGTGTTGCCAGATTTAAACAGGATGATCCTTTTTCAGAGTGGAAATTACAGGAGGGACGGGAGACAAGTGTGTGACTTCGGATGGTCAGGAAGCCCAGACACGTGTTTGTGGGTCTTTACATGTCCCTTGCCCCCACAAGTGCATTTGGGGAGAGTGACTATGTTTTCAGCCCGAGGGTACACGGGTGGAGGTCCAGGGGAGAGCGTCTTGCTAAAGAAAGCTTTCCCCTGCTGCTCGCAGTGTGAAGAAGCCGGAGGAGCCCATTCTCAGTTCCAGGAGCTTCTGTCTGCCCTTGGCGAAGCTGGTGCCACGTGTTCCCTCAGCATTGCCAACAGGCTCTTTGGAGAAGTGACTTTTCAGTTCCTTCATGTAAGTGACAACAGTTTACAGGCTTTGTGGTTTTTAAAACTTTCTGTACTACACTTTGAACTTCTGCTAGGACATCAAGTTGCATGTTTCTGTGTTGTTGCTCTTGTGGCAGAAAGGCAAGCTCTCACAGATGAATGAAACACAGAGCGAGCAGAATATTAAGAGTGCAATTTATGAGATTAAACAGGCTTTGTGTAAAGTCAAGGAAAAGGCCTTGCATTTCCTGAGGAGGAGATAAGAATACTTTTGAAAGCCTTGCATAGCAATTTTCGCCTAAATGATGTTTCTTCATGCTTTGATATAGAAGGAATCGGCACCCTTCATCTAATTTTTTTTAAATGCTGCAGCACATTTGCATCTTTAAGAAGTTTTGTAGTGCAGAGCATTTCCACAGAAATCATCACTCCAGACAATGGAAAAAATCATTTGCCCAGGCTGCAAACTGGGATCCTGGGGAGAGAGTTCACATAATTTTTCTCTCTCTCTCTCTGCACACACATGTATATACTGAGCCCTGACTTTAATGGCCTGATCCCAGAGTGTTGTTTTTCCTTCTTTGTGCTGTGCACAACGGGGGAGATGAAGTCCTTGCATGTTATTTTCCATTTGCTGGCACTTGGAAGTGAATGAGGCTTCACACACAGTGGGATGAGAAGTAAGGGCCAGCTTGCAACCAGGGCCAGGGAGCAGCAGTGGGGAGACTGCTCCCCAAGGACAGGGGAGCAGGGGCCATGGGTGATGGCCAGGATGACAGGGTTGTGCCTTGCCCTCCCCAACTACTATCTTGCTGACATGGTTGTTGTGGTGAAAAAGCAAAACACCCTCTCACAAAGAAGAGCAAGAGTAAAAGACAGCAGAGCTGGGACTCTCTTAGGTGAAAGGTGTCCTGGGAACTGCTTGCTTGGCTCCTCCCTGTGCCCAGAAGGTCTCTGCTGAAGAGTTACGGTGCGCATACAGGACATTAATACTAGAACAAGTAGCCCCACGCAGAGCTCTGACCTATAGGTTGGCATCCATTTGCCAGACTCCTATTTTTCCCTGTGGTCAAATAGCTCCCCGATTACCATCATGAGAGCCACCCCTCTTCCCTGCTTTGCAGCAATACTTAAACTCCACGAGGGCCTTGTACCACGCAGACCTGGAAGCCGTGGACTTCATTAATGCTGCTGAAGAGTCCAGAAGGAAGATGAATTCCTGGGTGGAAAAACAAACCAGTGGTAAGGACAAGGCGTGTGCTTGGCTGCCTGGGGAGTGTGCATCAGGACCACGTGAGAAGTCAATACCTGGTGTCTGAGTTTCTTCCTTTCCCTGAGTGTAGCAACATTCAGAAATGCTGTGGAGTGATTCATTTTGTTTGTGGCTACTGTAAAAGCAGCGTGGGGAATAAGATGGCCCTGAGCTTGTGGGAGTTTTGACTCTGCTAAAGCTGTGTATCAATTCTTGCCCTGAACGAATAATTCTTCCAAGTGAGGAAGTAATGGGATCATCCTCAGTCAATGGTCAAAACGAAAGCATAATTCACCTTTGTTTGTTGTTTTAAAGGGAAAATTAAAGACCTGTTCCCTCCTGGCTCTATTGATAGCAAAACGGTGCTAGCTCTGGTCAACGCTATACACTTCAAAGGGCAATGGACTGTAAAATTTGAGGAGAAAAACACCAGGGAAATGCCCTTCAGGCTGAACAAGGTACAGTTGGGACAAGAGCTGTGAGGAGCAGGGGAAGGTGGGGAAAGTCCTGGTCACCTGTGCTCTGCTGTCTGCAAGGCAAGTCTCTGCCTGGCTCAGGTGTGGGGGCCCACTTTATCCAAGCCAAGAGCCTTCACGCTGTGAAGTGGGAAAGCAGCATCCCTTTCCCAAGTGCCTCCATGACAGAGGTCATGTGAAGGCAAGCTTTGGTACCTCCTTGGAGAGGCTAAGTTATAGAGCAGACTTTGCTGAGGGCACATCAGCCTTTCCCAGGCGTTGTAGTGGAAGCTGGCTTTATCCTTTAGGAAAGAGAGGAGTCGTACAAACTACAGCATAGAGGACAAGAAGCCCTTAGAGCAACTGTTACAGCTTTCATGGAGCTCGAGCCTCCTCCTATGCTGTCAGCAAAAACATATAGTGGTTTGAGGAGTGTTTATGGAAAATGAGCAAGAAATTTCAAGCAGGTTCATCCCGTGGGTTTTATTACCTGCTTTATTTTGTCTGTTTTTTTCTAACTATTGATTGGCGTTCTGTATTTTAGAGAGAGAACAAGAATGTACCAATGATGTCTCGGACAGGAAAATATAAATTAGCCAGGATAGAAGAAGAGCAAGTGACAGTGCTGGAGCTCCTGTACACTGGAGAAGAGCTCAGCATGTTCATTCTTCTGCCAGAAAACATCTCTGATGAGTCTACTGGCCTTGAACAGGTAACACTCCTGTCTCTGCTCCTGGAAGGAGAAACTAATTGTCCATCTACTACTTAAGATGCTTCCCAGCCATGCAGGCCAAACTTCTATCTTTTATTGTTATGGGGTTTATCTTGCTTTCCATGGGCGGAACACCATTGCCTGTGTAAAGATTAGAGAGATTCATGGCTATATAAATCTTTTCAGAAGAGCAGAGAAAGACTGGGAAAACCTACTCAAAAGCAACACTTTGTAGCCTTTCCAAGGGAGTTAATGCCTATTTCAGTGGACAGAACGTAGCACTAACGAAGGGAACTTACTTCTTCCTTGCAAAAGTATTGGGACGCGATGCTGTATTGGTGTCTGGTAAAAATCTGAACAAATGAGAAGGATCCCTCTGAGAAGGCTGGATCTGAATTTGCCTTATTTCACACTCAGTAGCTATAGGGCACAGGTTCTGACTTTGTCATGAAAATGAGGCTTTTCATTAAAGGGAAGTGTTGCTGTGAGCATTTTGACCTAGTTTCTCATGGCTGTGATGCTCTGTGTTTTCTCGTTGCAGATAGAGAGTGCTGTCACCTATGAGAAATTAGCAGAATGGACCAACATGGAGAATGTGTATCCACAAAAAATCACAGTGTACTTGCCCCAGTTCAGAATGGAGGAGAGCTGTGAGCTCATAGCAGTACTGCAGGCTCTGGGGATGAGGGATGCCTTCATCCTTGAACAAGCTGATTTCTCTGGGCTGTCAAGAGAACCTGGGCTGTTCCTCTCCAAGGCCATTCACAAGTCCTTTGTGGAAGTTAATGAAGAAGCCACTGAGGCGGCTGCTGCTGCAGGGGTGACTGTAATACCGTTGTGCCTCCACATTCCTTACGAGTTCAGAGCTGACCACCCATTCCTTTTCTTGATCAAACACAATCTGAGCAAGAACATTCTTTTCTTTGGCCGATATTGTTGCCCCTAAGGGTAGAGCAGATTCTACTTCTTTCTTCCCAAAGAGACCACAATACTGTGGTAGAAAGGAGTAAGGCATAAATAACATGTTGCTATCAAGTGTCACTGGCATTTCCTGAAATCCATAATCTTGATCCCAAGAAAAAAACACCAAGCTGCTTTGGCAAAGCTATTGGAAAAAATTATAATGGGCCTTTCCTGTTTAGAGCTCTTGTCAAACAAGACAACAATGCTAATAGGGCTTATTTCATTCTTATTTCATTCTTAGCCATGAAAACTCTCATTGAAGTCAGGTTGTCTAAGCAGATGGGTGAAGTGCTGTATAAATAAGAAGTCCAAAACAATGCATCCCCTCTTCAGCTGTACAGCAAGGCTGGTGGTGGGGCCAGCCTCCAGAAGGTGTTGCAGACCTCCTCCCCAGCTACGAGGTCCCAAGCCAAAGACAGCTCAGTGCTGAACCCCCCACTTTCCTCCAGCAACCCCATCTCCAGCCTGCCATGATGGCAGTGAAACCCACAGGTCATGTTCATGTCCTGAGTGCAGCTCCACACAGATGTTGGGCCTGGAGATACTTAGCTGCATTTGCATTTGTCCCTCACTCTTCTCCTCAGGTACCCTCTCCAGCCCTCCCCGTTGGGAAGGACCTCTGAAATGACAAGAGCCCTTCCCACAGGGGTAAAGACACAAAAGCTGTCCCTGGGCAGAGGTAGCTGGTCTTCCCATTCAGCATAGGGGAGAGAAGTCCTTCTCCTCTCTGGTGGGCCCTGAGGGGTTATGGTCTTTGCCTGGCTGTGATTTGGCAGCGAGTCTTTGCAGTGCGAGGCAGCACCTCCTGAGGGAGTGCAGGCTCCTCAGTGTTGTGCCGTAAGGGGTCCCAAGGGGTACCACAGCAGTCCCATTTCCCTGCTCTGCGAGTCCAAAACTTGAACACCTTCACAATGACGCCAGCTGTCTGTCTGACAAAGCCTGGGCAGGTTTCAGGGGGAACCCAAAACCCCTGCAGTGACGTGCTGTCTGACCACAAAACGTTGGCTGCACCTCCTTTGTCCTCAGCTGTGCCATGCCTGTGTGTTGTTTCTGGGGAAAGATGAATATTGCTTTCTTCCCTTTTTTTGTCTCCTGCTGCAAGCGTCATGTGTAGACACATTGTAGATCATGGGTAGGCACATGGTCTGACACATTGCATGCCATGAGGGCCTGTGGTTTTCCAAAGCTTGATACATGTTCAACAATGAACAATAGCTTAGAAGTAATTTTAACGATAGCAGTCCTGTTAACTGTAGTAGCTTCCTGAACCATATAGTGTGGCAGCAATAAAAGTATTCAAAACATTTAATTGGTCTGGCTTTTTGAATCCTGATTTGAAAAATGCCTTAGGCACTCAACACGTTTGAACACCTTGCCACGTGTCTTGTCTCTTGCCTGCTGTATTTAATCCACGAGCAGTGAGGTGTAATTTACCACCACCAGGAACTTAAATGTCCTCCACCTGCATTTCGCTGACTTGCCCTTCTAAAAATAATTATGGATGCAAAAGGGTTTTTTGATGTTTTTTTTAGTATCACTGGGAAACCTTTCAAAGAAAATTCTTCCCCAAAACTCTGGTGTTTGACATGCGCCTGAAAAAACACACCCCTTCAAGACTCTAAGATGTTTGGCCTTGGAGGAAGATTGTTCTAGGTCTGTAATCTCTTATCCTGCCAGTTCTACAGCCTGCTGCCTGGTGAGTGGGAAATTATCTTGCTAAATGATAGAGGGGCGACCACCGAGGGGAAAGGTTTTCTTAATCCAGAATTTCATAATGGATGAAAGTCCCTCTAATGTACCATATCTTCCAAATCATATTTTCAGAATATATTAATGCAATTGTCTTATATCTGTACTGGAGTGTACTCCATGTGACTGGGATGGAGTTAACTTTCTTCATTGCAGCCTGTATGGCGGTCTTTTGGATTTCTGTTGATAACACTAATATTTTGGCTGTCACTGAACACTGCCTGCACAGCATTGAGGCTTTCTCTTTTTTCCATTCTGCCCCTGTCCCCAGCAAATAAGCTGGGGATGGACAAGAAGCTGAGAGGGGACACAGCCAGGACAGCTGACTCAAATTGACCTAAGGGCTATTCCATACCATATAACATCATGTCAGCAATGAAAACTGGGGTAGAGGAAGAAGAGGTGGTGTTTTGTTTGTTTGTTTGTTTTTTTCTCTTGCAAGGTGTCTGTTGCTCAGAGATTGGCTGGGCATTGGCCTGCTTGTGTGAGACGGTGAGTGATCCCTTTTGCATTGTTTGGTTTTTTCGTCTTCCTTTTACCTACTAAACTGCCTTTATCTCAGCTCACGTTCTTTTTCCCCTTTTGCTCTTCCTATACTCTTCCCCTTCCTTTTGGGGACAGAGGGGAGTAAGCAAGGAGTTGTGTGGGCGCTTGGCTGCTGGCTGGGGTCAACCCCCCACACAGGGTTTAGCTGCAGTTTGCCAAATGTGGTAAAATAAAGGGAAGTATTTTAAAAAGCAAATATGTGGCAATCTTTTTTGTTATATTTTTCTTGCATGATATTCATAGGTTTTAATATCCATTTTATAACATAGCATGAAATAGTGAGCTGAGTGTTTTCTATGCCAAAACCCACTTCAGGTAAAGCCTTGAGTCATTGACTTTGTCTTTACTGGTTTTCAGTGACATGAATTGTTATCCAAGTGTATTTGTGCAGTTTACTCAGTTTGCTTCTGCATAGTAAATCTCATTTTCTGCCTGTACAATAGTGAGTGAAGTACTTCAATACTTGTAAGTTTTAGTGAATGCTAGTAACTCCAAAGTTTGGAAACTGCAGTCCTGATGTTGAGATTCACAACTGGGACAGAGAGAATGGAGCTGTACCACAAAATTAATTTGGGTCTGATCCTGGTCTTTTCTGCCTATACAATTTTCGACACTTACAGAATATGCATTTATAAGCTACTAAAACATCAGTGAACTAATATCGAGGGAGTTATGATAGATTTACACCCATGCTTGAGAAGAGAATTCAGCCCCAAGTCTCCAGCTGAGTTTCTCAGACACCTGTGCACGCCAGGAAGAAAAAAGGGCCATCATGAAGTCTCAGTTTAGAAATCAGCCCACACTGTTGTGTCTCTCCATGTCGCACAAAGGCAGTCAAAGGGAGAATATATTTAAAAGTACATCCTGTAGCTGGTTTCCAAATACAGGGGAAAAAAATGAACCATATCTTAAATATATGGTAAACTGCAGCTCTGCAATGAAGACATGTAGTTGCAGGCTGTCCCCACTCTCAAATGAGAAGGCTTGCTGGCAAGATCAGAGCTTTGAAGTAACCCCACAAGTATTTGATGGTGTTCCAGCTCCTGTTTACCTCCTGTGGCTTCGTGTGTACAAGAGGTGGAGGTTTAGGAAAAGGGTCAAACGGTACTTTCCACCAGCAGCAGCAGTGGTTGTGTGTGCTGCTGTACCATGGGGACACTGTTCCACTGGCCCACAAATAGTTGTGTGGGAAGCGTTGTGTCATAATTTCCCAGACACCCTTAATGTCCCTTCATCAGCTTTTTGTAGTTAGATACTTGCCTTCATCTGAAGCACTGTAAGACACTTCTGTGTGTGAAAAGACTTCACATGGGTGTCCCAGGTCAAGTACCAAAGCTATTGGACTTCATGTTCTGTCAAGGCATTCTTGTTCATATCCAACAAGCACACAAGACCAAAATAACAGGGACTACTTTGTGTATTCTGCATGAAATAATGGTTCATGGAAGCATATTGCCTTAAAGTCAGCTTTTCTCTAATATCCTATTCTGTGTAGTAAAAGTATCATGTTTTATGAAGATTGTTGGTGATACTGGTCATAGGTTCTACATTAGATTATACATAAACTTTTACAACCAGCTGGGATACAAGTATCTGGTATTCACAAGGTGATGTATCTGGGTTACAGGCAGGCCAGAAATGAAGAGACTGTCAAATTTTATCCAGGATAATATGAGAGCAACAACTTTATCAATAGTAAAAATCAGTGCAACTGAGAGAATGCAGAAATGAGGAGAGAGGTAGAGAACTTTCTTTTCAGGACAGTTGAGTAGTCCTTGATTACCCCAGGCCTGTAGACAGGGAATTTGAATTGCAGAATGATGAAACATTATACAAATTCCCTGGCAGTATGAGAAAAACATACCATTTGCACATCCACATTATTCTGTGGCCTGAAGAGGAATCTTTTTTCCATGGGAATTCTCTTTTCACACCTCCTCTGGAGCTGAATCGGTTTACATTGGCTGAACATCTGACCCTGTGTTTTCAAATTATACACCTGCCAGTTTCTCACAGGGCTTGGCAGCTTGGGAAGGGTGTTTCCAAATTTTATTTTGTTTTCAAAACTCAGTGACTAACAATATGTGCACAATATTGGCTATCACTTACCCTCCACTTCTGGACCACAATACATCTGATTTCACTGGCTATGAGGACCGGCAAGAACATCTCCACACTAACTTCTATGCTAACAACATATTAGACTACCAAGCAACTGCATAATTTGACTAGCTATGGAAATCACACCACAAGGATTGTCACGGGAATGAGGAAGAACAATTACTTTTAACATCAGTCTGATGGCCAAAAGCAATACCTTTCTCCTCAGAATTGTGAAAATTATACAATGCTCTACAGGGCTGAGCAGCCCTGAAGGGCGTTACAGGTTTCCAACTCCATAATTTGTCGAAGTAGCTCAGTAGTTAACAATACCCACAGTGTTTTGGGTAGTGTGATTAGTGTAGTAATAAGATCTTGGTCATGAGTACATCTACAATAATTACATTTTATGACCAGGGAGACACTCTCAAACACTATGTCTTGTGCAAAGAATAAATTGACTAATAAGTATTTGCATGACTTGGCCAGTAGCATATGTCAAAGTTTAAAGATGCCAGGATGCAACTGTTCTGATTTAGAGTCAGGATGATTTAGGACAGAGATGAGTTAAAACTCCAGGGATAAGGA